AAAAATTTAATTAATTGATAATTAATAAATATTAAAAAATTATGTAATCAAAAAGAAAATTAAATTAAAAATTAAAATCAAATTGAGAATTTTTTAAAAAAGCAAACTATTTTTATATTGTTTACAGATAAAAAATATAACAATTTAATAATTAATAATAATGAATTTATGAATAATAATATATAATAAATAATAATGAATAATGGAAAAATAATGAAAGAAATAATAATTATAAGTTAAAATGTTCTAATTATCTGTAATAATCATTATATTTAAAAAAATGTATATATAATATAATAAATTTATAAATAATAATAAAAATTATATTATAATTGAAACTTTTTTTTTTTATAAATACCAAGTAGGAAATATACTGGTGCAGCACACAAAGAACAGTATTTTTTTTACTTTAAACTGATACTTAGTATATGACTTAATTAATGACGATGAATAAAAATATCCGTCGCGTTAACCATAAAATATTACGAAATCAAGAATCTGTCAATTTTAGAAAAACAAAAGGAACAAAATACGACTAACTTCAAGTGTGGACAGACGGAATGAATGAATGAATACGGAAATTATTATAGTTAATTAGATTCATTAAAATAAGTATAATATAAAACAATGTAATTCCCTATTTACGTGTTTCAAACGGAATAATGTACTTCGTGTGAGAAGAGCGAACATAATTCCGTCTATTTAAAAAAGTATTTTTATATAAAGAAAACTTTTAAAAATAATTCAGCAATAGAAAATATAATTTAAATAGATCATAATTAATCAAGAAATTAAAAAATAAATTACAAAATAAACACACTTCACTTTTAATATCCTTACAAAGATCACCTTCAGTCCTAGCTGTCACTTAAAGTATATTGTATTGCACAAAGCTCAGTCGTCGACTGACTGACAAAAACTTTTATTTTCAATACATAAACAAAATAGATGCAATTAAAACACAGAATATTGATCTAATAAATAGCAAAGTTTGTGTTGCAATTTTTCACTTGTTGAAACATTTTATCAATTTCTTATTTCAATTAGTATAAAGAAATAGCACGTAATAACGTACTAGGCCGTAATTGTGTACGTTTACCTTAATTAATTCTCGCGGTGGCAGCATCTTGCAGCCCTTCGCGGTTTCCTTCCCCCTTCGTCTCTCCCTCCTTCTAATCCCTGTTTCTTTCTCATCGTTTCGCTTCCGCGCGGTTCTAGCGGCACGTAATATTTACATCGTACTTCACCCTTTTCTTTTCGTTTTTTTTTATATTTTTAGTGATTTGTGTTTTTGTGACTGGTGTTTGTTCACCCCTTTATTTATAATCGACAGTGTAAAGTGACAAAAACCATGTGTGTTTAGTGTGTTTTATTCTTGGTCTGCCTTTCCCCCCTCTTTTACTTTGTTTACCTCTAAGTGTCGAATTTCCCGCTGCTATTTGCGATGTTGCCGTATTTCACTTTTATTAATTTGAATTTAATCTTTAAAAAAAAAATTCTTTTTTTTTTCTTTTTAGCTATATTTAATAAAATATCATAATATTGCTACATCTAATATTAAACCTATTATTTTAAACAACATTCAATCCACAAATATAATTGAACGTACCCACATAGCACGACTTCTTGCTGTGAGGTTACTGTAAGGATATCTGTAGGGTTTGTAAGGTTACTGTGTAAGCCTGCAGTAAACTTGAGGTCATCTTAAAACTTCCGCCTTACAGTAAGCTTACACAGTAAAGCTAAGGTAAGCTTACACAGTAAGGTCGTGGTAAGTTTACATGGTAAGGTTGTGGTAAGCTTACACGGTAAGGTAGTTGTAAGCTTCCTTTAAGGTTACTGCAAGGTTGATGTAAGGTTACTGTAAACATAGAATGTTGTTAATAAATAAAATTTATTAATATTTATGCGCAGTAGTTTTCTATGGCACATACGGCTGCGCAGTAACTTTTATTTGACAAGGGTTCATAAAGTACTTTACCAAATATATAATTTTTTATACAAAAAGATTTATAATATAATATATATTATAATATAATTATTTTTAATATATTTTCATATTACTTTATATTAACAGTAACCTTACATCAACCTTACAGTAACCTTAAAGGGAGCTTACAACTACCTTACCGTGTAAGCTTCCCTAGCGGATGGGTTCAACGCGATTTGAACGTAATAGCGTTGAAACACCGTTGGGAACACAACGGTCACTAAAAATGTTATTTAAAAAATAAAATATGATAAAGTATTTATTGGTATTTGTAGAAAAAGTGTTCATGAGTAATTTAGGACCTTATTTGTATCAATTTAATACGAAATAAGTGAAATAAAAGATAAAATATGGAGCACTGTTATATCAGGGTTTTCTGTCAAATTTTTATATAATTCAATGAAAAGTGTTTTAAATATGATTTAATAATAATAAAAAAGCAGTGAAAAAGTATTAATTTATTATTTTAAAGCATTTGAAAGGGTAATAAATAGTGAAAATTAATGTGTTTATTGTGTACTATTTGTGTGTATAGGACAACGTTTATCGACAGCAAGTTACAGGTAACATCGGTGAACGCTAGATGGCAGCACAGTAAACAATTAATAAAACTTTGACAAAAAAATATTTAACCTACTGAACGTCGATGATGCATCTAGACACAAATAAAAAGAATGCTAAAGGCTTATTGAATATTCTTAAAAAATGTTACTAGGGGGTTTTCAAATTTGATATCAGATTTCCAAAATTCAAAATACCAAATAAAATATAACGAATAGAAAAAAATTAAAACATAATCAAATTCTCCATCAGCTTGTTACTCGGGGGTTTTTGGGTTCGCTGATTACGAATATATAATAACAAATTCGATTATTGTTTAGTTGTTTAGATCCGCTATTTTGATTTTTGGAAAACTGTTATTATATTCGTAATCAGCGACCCAAAACACCTCCGAGTAACGTACTTCCAGAGAATTTGTTTTAACAAGATTAATTTTTTTTGTTTCGACATTTTGAATTTTCAAAATTTGTTATTATATTCGTAATCAGCAAACCCAAAAACCCCCGAGTAGCAATCTGATGGAGAATTTGATTATGTTTTAATTTTTTTCTATATTGTTATATTTTATTTTGTATTTTGAATTTTGGAAATATGTTATCAAATTTGTAATTAGCGAGCCCGAAAACCCCCTAGTAACATTTTTTAAGAATATTCAATAAGTCTTTAGCATTTTTTATTATGTGTGTCTAGATGCATCATCGACGTTCAGTGGGTTAAATATTTTTTTGTCAAAGTCTTATTAATTGTTTACTGTGCTGCCATCTAGCGTTCACCGATGTAACCTGTAACTTGCTGTCGATAAACGTTGTCCTATACACACAAATAGTACACAATAAACACATTAATTTTCACTATTTATTACCCTTTCAAATGCTTTAAAATAATAAATTAATACTTTTTCACTGCTTTTTTATTATTATTAAATCATATTTAAAACACTTTTCATTGAATTATATAAAAATTTGACAGAAAACCCTGATATAACAGTGCTCCATATTTTATCTTTTATTTCACTTATTTCGTATTAAATTGATACAAATAAGGTCCTAAATTACTCATAAACACTTTTTCTACAAATACCAATAAATACTTTATCATATTTTATTTTTTAAATAACATTTTTAGTGACCGTTGTGTTCCCAACGGTGTTTCAACGCTATTCCGTTCAAATCGCGTTGAACCCAGCCGCTAGGGTTACCACAACCTTACCATGTAAACTTACCATGACCTTATTGTGTAAGCTTACCTTAGCTTTACTGTGTAAGCTTACTGTAAGGCGGAAGTTTTAAGATGGCCTCAAGTTTACTGCAGGCTTACACAGTAACCTTACAAACCCTACAGATATCCTTACAGTAACCTCACAGCAAGAAGTCGTGCTATGTGGGTATATTTTATAATAAAATAAAATTTTCAAAACTTTAGTTTTTTAAACATTTTTAATTTTAAACTCTCTATAATTTATTTAATTATTCAAATACGTAATTTAATTAATTTTTCTTTTTTTTATATGTAAATAATTTTGAATATAAATTTACTAAAATCTGAATTTTAATCTATTTTTTTTAAAATTGTTGTAAAATTATTTTATTCAAATTTATTGATAAATTTCAATACGTAATTGATTCTTAGAAATTTTTGAATAATAAGTATTAAATATTTTATTAATTGGGTTACAACAAAAAAAATATCGTAAAAAAAATTAGTCAAATAATAAAGGCATTATATATAAAGCATTATTTCGATAATGTTGGTGGGAGTCCGCGCTGAACGCGTTGAGTGTAAGCTCCCCTCGCGTCCCTTGACATTGTGCGAGAGAGAAAGAAACTGCGTGCTGCAACTCCCCGTTCTCTCTCTCTGATGCACTTTACTCACAACCTTCTGTTTTCTTTGTTTCTTTTTGTCTTTCTCTGTTCCTCTTATGCCTAATGCATGTGTGGCTTTATATTATTTCTTTCCTAGTTCTTAACGTCGTTTGGAGGCGATTATTTTACACTTTTTTTTTTATTCTTATATATATATTTTTTTTATTTAAACAAATTACCCCCTCCCCCAAAAAATATACATTATTCTTGTTAGTTCTGTCCCCTAACTAAAAAAAATTTTTTTTTTGTTTCTTGAATGTCATTTATCAATTAATTAATTTAATTAAATTAATCCAGCAATTTACCAGCTAAAATTAATAAATAAATAAATCAATATCAATCAAATAACAAATTAATAATTAATTATTGATTTTAATCCATTATTATTATCTATTATTATTTATTATTATTTAATTTAATATTATTATTTATCATTATTTAATTAACCAATTTACCAACTAAAATTAATAAATAATTAAACCAATAATAATTAAATACTGAATTAATAATTAATTGTTCCCTCAAAAAAAATATATCAATTATATTTAAACTTATAATTTCTTAATTTTCCCCTTTTTTTAGTATGGTGAGTTCTCCAAGTTCCGGCTCTAGTGATTTGGAGTTCGTTTCCCTCACCCGTCGTGAGGACATTGTTTGGCCTGAGGTAGACCTTGATTCCTCTTGTAGCGGAATCAGTGATGCCTCTACTCTACCCTTAACCAATATTGCCCGTAAGTGTCTGAAACTACCCCCTAAAAAAAATTTTCATACCTTTTTTTTTGTTATTATTTTTTTTTTTTTTTTTATAAATAGAAAATTATTTCCTCTTTTTTTTTTTTTTTAGCAGCCCAAAGTGACATACCTGACACACCTGCTTCCCCCGATCCCGCGTTCGAAGCCTATTTTGACGCCCATGCTCAACCTTACAGCCCAGGTTAGTAGCCCCCAAAAAAAATTATGTTAAAAAAAATCTATATATTATCATGTCCCTTATTCCTATTATCTATATATATGTATTATTTTTTTCTAGCCCCACCCTCTACTGGTGTTGGATCCCTTGAATTATGGTTGTGTGCACCATAGTTGCGCGTGCATAGGTATGCATTAGCGGCAGCTATAATTTGTGAGGAAACAAAAAAAATATATATAAAAAAAACTACCCCTTTTTTTATATACACCTTAAACCTATATGGTTAGTTCTCCCCTTTTTTCAAAACTTTATGCAACTATATACAACTATATACCTCAAAAAAATATAATACTAGATCAACCCGATCTATTTTACTATCGGTTTAATAAAAAAAAATCATCATTTTTTTTATGGATTTTTACATCTGGGCACATTACGGTTCTTCTTTTTGCTTTTGGTGTAGGTGCCCCTGAAGTTAATATTTGAATAGTTTCTGAGACGCTAGCTGTAGCTTCTTCTTTTGTTGATGTCGTAGCCTTTGTTTGGTTTATTTCGGTTGGAATGTTTTGGGATAATTCTCTTAGTGGTACTTCATTTGTTTTGTCTTTTCCAGTCAGGATATTGTTTATGGTTGTGGATCTTTTCTTACAGGTAATCATAATAATTACCACTGTTGCCAAAATTGCTATTGTGGTGACCGTGCCCCAGATTCCTATCATTGTTGGGGAATATGTTTCATTGAGTTTTTGGGTCAACACACGTTGGCTTTGTTCTTCGAATTCCTTTTCTAATAATTTCAGTTTTTCGTCCGAATCCGACTTTTTCCACGAGAAAAATTTGTTGTCGTTTTCTACTACTACGATCTTCCGCCCTACATCTTTCAGTATCAATAATACATTTTCTAACTTTAATTCCAGTTTGGGTTTATAAAGATATCTGTATGGATTCTCTTTGATTTGAAGACTCGGCAATTCTATAGTATCTAACTTAAGAATACATTCTCTCGCTACATGTATAATCCCTATACCTGGCAAAGTGTAAGCTTCGGCTACCCTCTGTGGGCAATTTAAATATACTATTTCCGAATGGATAAGAGAGTATAACCAACTACCTGTTGTAATTAGTGGTTCCCAAAGTGGTTGTTCATTTTTAGTGAACCTGATGTCACAAATTTTTAGGGTTTCGTTGTTTGGATTTCTTCTAAGCTCTGCCTCACAACCAGGTACCGACAGTATATCGTAAACTCCGTGCATGTGATAACATATGTATTTATTTTCTATCTGCCTGCAGTTTTTAAGTTGTTCCTCATTTAGATAAAAATAATACCTTTCATCCCCTGTAATTGCTAGATATTTTGCGTATGCTGATATATAAGCCCTGGTTCCGTTTTCTCCTGACTCTTGTAAAACCGGCACTTCATGCATCTTATATAATGTGTAAATTCTTTCCTCCACCAGCGGAATATCTAGAGTTATAATTAAATTTTTCTCGTTAGTATGTATGTTGGTTTGTGAGATCTTATCCACATTCGAAAATGTTATGTCATCTATCGGTACCGGGAAGTCTACCCCCTTTAAATATTTCTTTGCTTCTGTTGCTATGACTATTTGTTGTTCGTCGGTTAACAATTTGGGTGACAATTTCCCTTCTTTCGCTTTATACAATATATTGAGTGGTTCACTAAGACCGTGTTCATAAATCCCTATTTCGCGGTTCCAATTTTCCATGGTGTTTCTAATATTGTTCAAATACATTTCGTGATTCAATTCATTTTTAAACTGTAATATCTCATCCTCAAACGCTCTTAAAATTTCTTTGACTTCTTGAGATTGATTGCGTTGTTTTTCAGCTATGTCACACATTTTGTGTAGTTCCGCCCTGACTACATGCGTTTGCTCATCCATTAAGTGAGAGAGATTTCTTTGAGCTTCATTAAGTTCTAACATAACCGCTTTATAGTTTTCTCCTTCTTCGTAGGTTAAAACTCCAATAGTGGGTCCTATTAGTTTTCCTAGTATCCCCATTAATGGTGCACTTCTTTTGTTAATTCTGTTACTTAGGAATTCTTGTTTTGTTGACTCCGAATGTTTTAGGGCTTTAATAACCCTTTGTACTTCTTTCCAGTGCAATTTAGCTATCTCCAACCTATTTTTCAAGCCTTCTGTGTCTGCGAAGTGATGACAATTACTGACTAATATTTTCCTACATGGCTCGTTAGCTCCTATTACGTGTTTTTCGAAAATTGGTAGTTGGTCTAAAAAGTCTTCCATGTCTAATATAATGGCTGTTCTCCAAAACCCGGTGGTTCTTAGTACTGTGGATATTCTTTCATAATAAATGCCTGAACTTTTGTTCATTGATATTATAGTGATGCCTGAATTTTGTCCTCTGACTGCTAATAAGATCCCTGTTAGAAATAGCGCTATCCCCTTCATTTCGGCTGTGATTCTGCAACCAAAATTTTAAACTAACTTTTAGTTAAATTTTCTAATCTATTGGGTTTGGGCAACAACCGTCTTTCTATTCTATAGCTAGTTTAGCTAATCTATCGGCTTCTTCGTTGCCTTTGATTCCACTATGCCCCGGTTGATAAATTAGTTCTACTTTGATCCCGGTTATATTATCGCTTAGTTTGCTAAATATTTCATTACTAACTACAGTTTTCCTTTTATTAGTTTTCCACCCATTTTCCTTCCATTTTGGTAACCAACTCAGGTAACCATCTATCGCAAATTTAGAGTCGGTGTGTATCCTGACTTTGCGTAACCCTCTTTTCTTTAATATGCTAATTGTTTTCACGATAGCTTCTATTTCTGCTCCATTATTGGTCTGTTTCATCTTCGCTTTTTCACTGACATTAAGAGGATGTTGTTTATTGAACCATATTCCTATTCCTGCTCTTGCTAATTCTTTGCCATTGGCTTTACAAGCCCCGTCGGTAAAAACATGTATAAAACCCTCCCTATCTTCTAGAAATCCTGCTTCGTTTTCTAGTCATAAGTACGCCTTTTTGACTTGGTCTTTGTATTTTCTGAACCTTTTTCCTTCAGCATCGCATAGAATTAAGTTGCTATTCTCAGTTATTGAAATAACTTCGTAGGGTCCATGATAATAAGGTTCAAACTTCCCTGCTCTGACTTCTTCTTTCACATCTACTACATCACCTATTTTTATATCTAACGGTCTAGCTTGTTGGTCGTAAATCTCTTTTGATTTGATTTTAGCGTCTATTATATTTTTTGCTGCTAGTCTCCTGATTTCAATGAGTCTTGTAACTAATTCTTGTAAATAGGATTCGTACGTTGCTAATTTGTCTTCTGTGGGAAAAGATGTGGGGATTCTTGCCTTTTTTCCAAATACCACCTCATAAGGTGTGAATTTAGTCGCATTATGTACTGAGGTATTGTATGCAATATTTGCTTAACTGATCCTGCATAGTCAACACGTGACAGTTTCCATCTACTGTAGTGGGTAATTTTCCTACCGTATCTACGCACACTTTGTCGAACGCTTCTAAAGGTGTATCCGTTATTAGCATAGGCTCCATATTTTTAGTACGGACTATTTTCCTTTGGGCGCAACTTCTACATTTCCGGATATATTCCGTAATATCTTGTTTTAATCCCGGCCATGTAAATTTTTCTCTAATTCGCTGATAAGTTTTATTCACCCCTTTATGACCTGCTATTAAACTGTCATGATATTCAGATATTATTTTCCCGCGATTTTCCTTTGTGGGAATGTTTATTTTTCCGTAGCATAACTTAATTTCGATTTCACTGCTACGAAAAGTTTTTACTAACTTTTCCATACCTTTTTCACCCCATTCCTCTAATAAATCACCATAGTGTGACACCCTGAATCGTTTTATTCCCTCTTTAATCAAAATTGCTCTAAGATTGTGTAAAGCGAAATCTAAATCCTCCTCGTTTATTTTCTGATCGTATTTTTCTGTTATAATTACTGTAAAAGTCTTGTATTTTCCTTTTGGCGTAATCAGGACCTGTCCTACTCTTGGTTTGCTACTTTTTATTTCCTGCAAATCTATTCTTCCTGTCGCTATCAACAACTTAATTGTTGGTGTAGATGTCTCTGCATCTGCCGACATAAAATGCACATAATTGTCCCTATTATTCGTTAATGGTCCTCTATCATAGGTTAGAACGTCCAGCCTGTCTAGATTCACTTCCTTTTCCTCTTGTTTTATATCTTGGAAAGGTGGTTTTCGAACGTCAATATAGGGCATCACTATGTTTATCCCAGGTTTGAACCTTATCTCATTTTTATCCGGCACTTTGCTTTCTTTGTCCGCTATTATTTTACGTGGAACTACTCTTTTTTGCCTAAGCTCTATTTCCGAATCGTCTAGCTCTAATTCTTCTCGAATCGTGTTAGGTACGTAGGGCGTTGATTGAGCGTTGGTCTCGCCCTTGGGATGGGGGTGTCGAAAGTCACTGTTTTCTTGCTACTTATAACGTCTTTTACCGAATCGCTAGTTTCTTTTTCTAAATTACTACTCTCTGATACACTCTTGTCCGGTTGATTTATTTGTTCTGAGATTTCCTGTAAGTCCGCTATAATCTCATCCATCGATCTAACTTCATCCTGGTCTGTTTCTTCTTCATTTTCTATTTCTTTCGCCTGTTCCTCAACGAATTCATCATCCCAATAATATGATTGATGACCAGCCATTGATAAATCGAAACGCTTGATTGATTCTCTAATACTCTCTGCCATTTCTTTGTTGGGCCATTGTGTGTTATTCACGGTTTCGCACATCGTTTTATCTTCTTCGGCTTCTTCTTCTGATGTATCTACGGGTGGACTTAAATATACCACGGTTTCGTCACTCCTAATAGGTTGTGTAAGTCTCTCAGTGTTATCACTATCGCTTGATTCGTCATCAGTATCCTCTGCATTCGTGTCATTTAAAGACGGTAACATACTATGGCTTTTTCGCAAAATGGGTATGTCTTCTGCCTCTACTCTAGTTTCTGATTCCGTATCTGATTCGCTGCTTTCTGAGACGAGTGTATCATAAATAGTTTTAGGGTTTTCTTCCGTAACGATTACCGGCTGAGTTTTAGTTCTCGGCCTTAACCTTGACGCAATGGGTGTAAAATTCACAGGCGGCATTAACTCTTTAGTTTTG